TGAAGTTTGGGTGCAGTTTCCACTTGTTTTCGATTATTTTTCTTCAACGTTTACCCCATAAATAAAATTGGTCTCCTCAACTGGCTCAGCTCATCGCGCTTGGTGTAATCATATGGCCCGCGTCAAGCGGGATGATAACATCAATTATTCTTCATTAAGTTGAAATATTAGCGGTGTATTCTAAATCGGTTTCTTTAAAATGGATATCCAGTTTCCAACAGTGTGCTACCGTTTCGCTTGAGGTCACATCCCATGGGAACGGTGCTAAAACTAAATTGCACTATCCTGTTGGCTGTCCATGTTTCTACACTAAGTCCCAGTCTTATGTTAATGTAGCAGCCAGATAGATTATTATTAACCATCCACCTTGATGTACGTCGGTTAAAGTGCAGGATGATGTTCTCAAATATTCATCATGTCCACCCAATGACTGTTTCCAGATGGCTGTAACTTTAATCTTCCAGCACAAAGTAAATTTATTTACACAGGGTAATAAGAAAATCAAATACTACCATTAACATCTTTTTTTTAAACAGAAGCACCTATTTTCCTCTTCAAATTTGAATTACTAGTATGACATGTAAACAATATTAACCAAAATAGCAAGGAAGTTTAAAAATGAATCTCATCCAAGGGAATAAGTGAACCATAGTTTACCATACGTTCGGTTGCGTACATCAGCTTATTGAAAATTTTTAATTTATCGGGTTTTGAAATGGTGAAGTTAACAGAACGAGAAGAAACTGAAATTGTCTGCAGTGTTGTGTTTCGTGATAGAACATGCACCTAAATAGAAGCAGTTTAATTATTTAATCAAATCCACCGTGGTCGTCCTCTTATGTGCCAAAGGATGGTTATTTGAAGATGATTTCAATAGACGAAATGAGTTTTGCGAAAGGATGCAAAATATGTGCAATCCACATAACAATTTAGTAAAAAACGTGATTTCTTCGCTAAAGCCACGTTCAGTTTGAATGGTTATGTGAACCGACAAAATTGTCGATATCGGGCAACAGAACAGAAAATCCGCTTTGAATGGAGGTTGGTGTGGAATATCCCGCGGAAGAGTAATAGGACCATTTTTTCTTTAAACAGGCTCTAACTGTAGAAGCATATCCAGAATTTTCCTAACTTGAATTAGTTCTAGCATTGGTGTCTTTATTTGCGTGATTTGTGTGCGGACATTTTTGGATGAATCCTTTCCAAACCGGTGGATAGGAAGGCTAGAACCTACTGAATCGCCTCCTAGATCGCCAAAATTAACTCTCATAGATGGGCCCCGTGTAAGAAGGGTTTGAATAACCTTAAGTCGAAAGTTTTGTTGGGAGACCAAACAATCTGCAAGAGTTGAAATAGAAGTTCCGAAAAAAGTGCGTGCAACAATTCGGGAAATGGTTGAAAACGTGCAGGAAGAGAAAGAAAAGCAGGCACTTCCGTATGAAAAAACTAAGTTGATGGTCGTAACTGATTTTTTCACCAGCCTGTTTGAATGGATCGAAGACATTAGTAAAAAGCTCCTAGACGGGAATATCGACTTATTCTGTTCTGGCGACAATTTGAAGATGTTTGGCCAGACACCAAGGTTCATATTCGAGGCTAAACACTTTCAGTTCTTATAGAGCCAGGCGAGTAAACAAACGGTAATTAAACTGCCGAGTTTTTCGCGTTTGATCGTTTTTCACAAAACCGCTGAAAACATAAAGGCCGATTGGTAGAACAAAAAGCATTTTGGAGTTTAAAATAAATTTGCCCTTATTCGTGGGTTTTTTCTCAGTTTAAGTAGCCTATTGTCTCTTTCGAGCGATGCTATGGGCCGGACTCCGAAATTTTTTTTTGCCAATTTTTTGAAAAATCCGTGTTGTCCAACGACCAATCGCTTCGATTTAGACCTGAAAAAATCCTGAACACTCCCAAAAATTTCCTATGAAAGTGAGATTTTGCCTTTCGAGTGTTATTTTGGGCAGGCTTGAGAAAGTTTTGGTTTTTGCTTTAGAATCTATTTTTTAATCCCTCTGTATATGCCAACGGCCAATAGTTTAAGATCTTAAAACATCCTGGAAGCTCGCAGAAATTTCCTGATCAAGTGAGTTTTTTCTCAATTAAAGCAGCCGATTTTCTCATTCGAGTAATGCTATGGGCCGCATTTAGGAATGTTTGGTTTTTCCTTGGCAAATTTTTGAAAAATCGGTGTTGTCCATCGACCGCTTAGATTAAGTACATGAAAAAATCCGGAAAAAGTGAGGTTTTCCGCATTTAAGAGTGATATTCTGGACAGGCTTGAGCGATTTTTAGTTCTTCCTTGACAATTATTTTTTAAAATCCTCTAAATATACTAACAGTCTACCGCTTCCCCTTGGTAACTGAAAACACCCTGGAAACTCCCAGAAATTTCCTCAAAAAGTTATTTTTTTCTCACTTAAAGCAGCCCATTTTCTCATTCGAGTGATATTGTGAGCCGGATTGTGGGATTTCGGCTTTTTCAAGTCAATTTTTTGAAAAATCAGTGTTTTCCACCGTCCAATCGCCTCTGCTTAGTAACTGAAAAATTCTGGAAACTCCCCGAAATTTCCTATTAAAATGAGTTTTCCTCACTCAAAGCGCTTTGCGCTTTCGAGTGATTTTATGGGCTGAGTTTAGGGATTTTTGGTTTTTTCTTGACGAATTTTTGAAAAACTCGTGTACCCTATAGGCCATCGACTCGTCTACGTGACTGAAAAATCATGAAAACTTCCAGAAATTGCCTGTAAAAGTGAGTTTTGCCTTACTTAAAGCACGGATTTTACCATTCGAGCAATATTATGAGGCGCATTGTTGAATTTTTGGAATTTTCTGGTCAAATGGTTGAAAAAATTTTTTTTTCAACGGCCAATTGCCTCGGTCTTAGTAACTGAAAACATATTGGAAACTCTCAGAAATATCCTAGTAAAGTGGATTTTTCCTCACACGGAAAGCCGCCGACTTTCCCTTTCGAGTTTTATTATGGGCCAGATTGATAAATTTTTGGTTTTCTTGCCGAATTTTTGAAAAATTCTTGTTGTCCAACGACCCATCCCTACGATTTAGTATATGGAAAAATCCTGAAAACTTTCAGAAATTTTTTATTAAAGTGAGGTTTTCCTCATTTTCTCTTTCGAGTGATATTCTGGACAGGCTTGAGAGATTTTTTTTCCGTAACAATTTTTTCTTAACTCGTCTAAATATATCAGCCACCAATCGTTTCTCCTTAGTAACTGAAAACGTCCTGGAAACTCCCAGAAATTTCCCAATCAAGTGAGTTTTTCCTCACTTGAATCAGCCGATTTTCACTTTCGGGTGATGTTATGGGTGGCATTGAGGAATTTTTGGATTTTTTTGACGCATTTTTGCTGGTATACTTAAGCAACTTACCGGCAATAACTACTTGAAATACACATGGTTCCTTCTGCTTTCCAATTTCATTTTCCCCATAGCAAAGGAGAGTACCATAGTCCAGGTCGTTGTTGGGTGTGTAGTTCAATCGAGACGATGTCACCTAAACACAAACAACTTTAGAAACATCGAATAAAATACAAAATTGAGGAAACTGTTCAAGTGTTTCTCCTTGCGATTCATGTACGGGACGCACACGATATTTATGTGCAATTGAAGCATATTGCAAGTTTAAATCGTAGCTGGAAACCAAAATATCATAGCATGTTTACCTCGTTCGTGTACTTTTCGCTGGACACGTCCGTCTGATCCCCGCTGTTATTAAATGTCCAATGAAATGCCGCTACTGGCGGATTCGCATCCACTCGACATCGTAACGTCACGGTCTCCTGCTTGAGTGCTCCATACACTTCCTCACGTTCCTGGATGCACACGGGCGCGTCTGCAAACAGAGTGCACCACGGGTCAGGATATACGGGAATAATATCCAGGAATCCACAAGGTTGGATCGCTCATATCAAACTTTTATAGCATCAAATGAAACATTTAGCACCGAAGCTGAGCTCTTTTCCCAGGAGCGGCGATAACTTCCGGGATGGATTAGGAACGTCTTTGCACATTCAACAGCGAAAATTTCAACTGCATTATTGCGACGACGTTTAAGGAGAAATTGATGGACCTTTTTGGATACGAAACAGTTTTTCTAGAAAAAAGGAACTTTAGAAACTGATGATTTTCAAGTTTCTACTGTTCCGTGGCTCAAGCGCTGTAGCTTTGCTTTACCTAGGTTTTTCTTCAATTTTCTCACATTTTTACCTGAGGAGAGAATTAATTAGAATTTACATTACATTTAGGAATGTTTTCCGGGCTTTGAAGCCGTAGTCTATCGGAATTTCTTCCTGACGTTTCGTCCACAACTGTGGTGGACATTTTACATTTAGAATTTACATTTACAGACGAATTCATTTTGAAAATGCATTATGAAATTATTTTTTTCAAACACTTTACCGAGTTTTAAATATTTTTGAACGTCCTAAATAAATGCTTTTGAATGTCTGCTAAGTTTTATTTTTGTCTAAATTTGAGCAGAATCTATTGGAAATACCACATAAATGTTATCATTCCTCTTTGTCAGCAGAAAGGAGAAAAGCCATAATCTATGTTTATATTCAGAGAATTCGACTCGTAATTTTGAGTCGCTGATCTAAGCATAAATGGTTAAGCTCAACCGAATTA